TACGTTGACTATGTAATAACAAAATATATCAGGACTTGACCTAATTCTTTGAACGGATGTTTGTTTTTTGTCACATTGAAACAAAATGAAATTACTACTTACCTTAAAATGAAATAAAATTAGGACATAATTTAACAAAACAAGGATTAGAAGAAAAAATAACTCTTTATATACTACTACTACTATTCAGAAATAAACACAGTTTTGGTCCTAGAAAAATTTATTGAGCCTAATTATATAATAGATGAAAAAAGTCGGGAGGACGAACGGATGTGTAGATTATTCTTCTTTCATCTGAAAAACCATTAATAGAATTTTTAAGAAAATCTACAGTACTGTAGTATACACATCTGAGCATATGTAGCTACAACGATTTCTGTTTTTTTTTTTGTGATAGTTGTATATTAAGTTTTATCTTATATAATTTGCTTATGGAACTATATAGTTATTACAACAGGTATATACCTGTTGTATCAATTTATGTACGTTCTTCTATCATTAGTTCATTGAAGAAATAGCATGAATCTGTTCTCGAAACCCAGCACAAGCCCCTAGTGTTTTTGTTTTGTGTGTGCAGACTTAAATTTTAATTACCATCTCAGTTTCAATATTTTACTGTATTTAACATTGAATACCTTATTGAACACTATTATTTACATTACGAGTCGTAACAAAGCGCCGCGAATTTTATGCTTTTACAAAAAAAATCGTTTTTCCTGTATATAATTTTTATACTTGTGTTGTCATTTCTCCCAAGACTTAAAACATTTTGCAAATTAATTTTTGTTACCTAGCTCAGCAAATTTTACGTTGACATATTTACTCCTCAATCGTAGCATAGCATCATCCTTCCCTGACTTTCATGGATTACGGTACGGTAGGTACTTTTTGTTATATTTTAAATCATGCAGCAATGGTATTCTGTAAATTTTGTAGGTTGTAGTGGTGAGTCTAGCTGGGGTCAAGTAATTACGGCTCGAATCAGGGCTGACTCGACCGATAAATTACCACCCTAAATGCCAAATTTTGATTTTGGTTTTTCCCAAAATTTGGTAATTTCATACGAATTGCTTTGAGTAAATTGTACATACTTTGAAGTTAATTAAAATTGAAGTATCTATTTTTAATTTCAAATTAACAGCTTTCCACAACATGCATGTGTAATGAAATACAATATCTACCTCCATACTCCATTATTTTTAATTTAAAAGGCTAAAATCCTACAAGGCCAGTAAAAAATATCATATGTAACTTAAGCGACTTTTTATAACACTTAAATAAGTGGAACATCACAATTCAATGTTTTCAACGCTGTAACTCCTGTAAGGCCAATTTTAAAAAATATTTTTTTTTAATTTAATTATCTCCACGCCAGGAGATTAAGCGAACTTCGAAAAATTGAATGATAGCCCATAACGATGATAGCGACTATCTCAAAGGGAATTTTATATACTAGCAGAGAGACAGCTAGTAATTGGTCTATTACCGAGTTTATCATATAAGTAGCATTACTACATATATGATATGCTGACTATTAGAACTAATTCCAAGACCTATACAAATGTGTATATAATTTCTAAAAAACAAAATTTTATCTAAGAATTTGTTTTAATCTGCGTTTTTTAATTTTATAAAAATGCACATGTAAAAATATAATTGTATTTTAAATAATTTTGAAGTTCAAGTTTTATTAAATATTCCAAATCTTTGCATAGGGGACGGAGGGAATAAAGTTTGTTTGTTACAAAAATGTTGACATTGCTAAGTTTTTAAAAAGAGTACAATAAGTTGTATTCATAATAATAAATATGCAATGAAAATGATAAAAAATTCAAATATTGATCATACATAATTGAAACAGTAGTTATAAGATTAATTGCATGTAGATGACAGGCGCCGAACCTCATCTTGCCCCGGAAAAGCATTATTGATCGGCGCATGTCTGGTGCATTCTATGATTTTATTTTGTGCATTACATTTTGAGAGACGACTCCGGTAAGACTTAATTGAACTTCATTGTCTATAAGGTAAGTAAATCATGAAAAGAAAATAGTTAAAAAATAAATATAAAAAAATCTTTAATTAAACAAAAAAGTAAAAATTTAAGTAAAATTATTTTTTTAGCTAAAATCCAAGAACTCTTCTTACAATGCCGAGTGCAATGAAAACCCGAAAGCTCAACAAAAAGAAGCCACTCAAAATCAAATTTTATTCTAAGATGGTGAGTATACTTACCTACTGTCTAAATAAGAAAAAAAAATCTTGTTTTAAACCGTTTAAATTGTAAATTCTTTGTGGACAACGTATGTAGTAACTTTTGCAAACTTGGCATCTAAAATTGCTTCCCAACCAAAATTAATGAAACAAATGAACGTTAAAGTATTAATAACATATTCAAAACACTTAATTTTCAATAAGTAAAAATAAATAAAGGTACGTATTAAAACTCCATATGTAAAACAAAGAAACTTGTACTATCATAATATCAATCGTATTTTTTTTTCTATATTTTGCAGAAAAAGTCAGCTAAACATTTCAAGAAGTTATCTTTTTGCAAATTGTTTTTTAAAAAAAACAATGAAATGAAGATAATTCGAGGTCTCGGCATCATATATATAAATTACTATTAATTTTAGCGGATACATCAATTCCAAAAAGTTTGTCTCCTATGAAGTAGAATCTATATAAAAGGGCTTTTTGAATTTTTACTATCATTATTTCTGATAAAATTTGATCGTCTTTAATCCTTTTATATCTTTTACACCTATTTTGTAACTAAAAGCTTGTCTTTCTGACTGTTTACAGTAGTTAATTTTACATGATTAGTTTAAAACATAAATTAAACTATTTGTTGAGTGCTGTTCTATTGTATTATAAATGATGTACCTATTTATTTTTTACTTTATACATTGTATTTCAACCAGAAAATAGCACTTACATATATGTAATGGATCAAAATTAAAAGTTATATTCAATCTATTTTCCATAATTCTAAGATCAAAATAAAAAGTTTAAATTGTTCTTCTTATATAGATATCAATAAATGTGACTAGAATCTCGGTTCTTGCCTTTTTATTTCACAAATGTCTTTCTAATACTAATAACAAAACTACGGTGATCATTTCTACGGTTACGATAGTAAAACTACAACTCTAACTTCTAATGTGAAACGATTATGGTATCCTATTGACATCCACAATACCGCACTATATTCACCGATTGTCGAGACAAGATGTGAGGATGGTGTCTCTGCTGGTGGTGAGCAATGGTGAATTATGGCAAAAGGTACCCTTGGCTTCACTTTAAACAGTTTCTTGGAGCACACTCTACGTACAGACGGTAGAATACACAGCTAGGCAACGCCTCCTCTTAAAATTAATGGTTGAATTCAATACAAATTAATGAAGATGTAACCACAAATAATGCAAAATGGCAGCTGCATAAAAAAGTGTCAAAGAAGCTTTTCGTGAGAATAAAGCAGGATGCCTTTCTGGCCGATATAAAATGAATCTTAAAAATTGAATTTTTTGCACAATGTTATATGACTGACTGTAAAATCGCACGATTTATTTTATCTCACAGCTAGGGTCAGTACCGAAAAATCCACGTGTTTTTGACTTTGTCGATCCAATATGATCGTTTCTTCTAATTATGCTGCTTAACTTTAGTCATTCTATCAGGCAAATTCCTTAGTACTTTCTTCTAGCAGTACCTACTCCTAATTATATTATGATTCATTAATCAATAAAACCAACTCACAATTCGACTGTAATGAAGCAATAGTACCTATAGAAAAAAAAGTTTCTTAAGCTTCTAATGTATAAAATATACTTATAAATAACATTTAACTTTTGCAGAAACAAAAGTTCCAAGGGATGTTCTTACAGTGGTACACGCCCATTGACAATAAAAATTATTTACTTAAATGACAATCAAAAGGTCGTTGTCGTAAGCATTTACACGGTCTAGATAGCACAAATAAAACGTTAAAACTTATAAATAGAAAAAGTTACCTATTGCTTGAAACTATTTAATAAATCAATGGTGCACGAGCCACTCTATATTAAAAGAATTACGCTCTATTAAGCGAGGAATCTAAAGGTTTGTACTATTGAGACTAAATTATTGTCGCTTTATAGGTTATATAGTTATAGGTTATATTACAATTGAAAACCTAAATGAGTACTCGAGAACCAAAGTCATAAGATGTACTCAAAAAATATGATTTTGATAATATATAACTATATACAAAAAGAGAGCGGATATGCATATTTTAATAATATTTTAGTGACCAGTACGCAGCATTTATACACTGCAGAAATTGGAAAAGAAATATAATATTGTACCTATTATGCCTTCAAGTATGGACATGCCAAACGCTCTCTCCCCATTATTTAAAGTAAATTTAGTTTCTAAGTAAAGTATATTATAAAACTGCGAGAAAAGGAGCAATATTAAACATAATATGTTAGATAAAATTCAGAAGATTTTGGCACAAGAAGCAGAAGCACAGCTGTCTCTAAAAACTGTCCTCCTTGCTATTAATATAAATCACCAAAATTCTTAAGACTTCGAGATGAAATGTATTAAATACAATATATTAAAATAAATCTTATTTTTCATAGGTAAGTACAATTATTAACGGTAACTTATTCGTTACCCGAATATATAAAATTAAAATAACAAGGAATTATTGATAAGATTATTTTTCTCCGATATATGAGTAATGGTCTAAAATATTAGATTTAATAATATTTACCGACACATTTTTTGTATGTTTTTGTTTAAAAGATAATAAAAATAAGAATTTAGTAACTAAGAATCCAGAGCGGGACCGCACCTTGAAATGTCTTTTTGATCGTTGACGTTAGTATTGATGACAGTGGGAATTGTAATTGAGCGAATGAGATGGGATGAGTCTTCTTGCGTTTATCTGAAGCAGTAGTGGGATTTCTAGTGTTTTCTTAGCTTATTGTGATTTTCAAGAACCAAAAATAAAAATGGAGTGGATGATACCTGTTAATGATATGTTATGTGACAAAATTACAAAATTAAACTCTACATTAATACCTCCTGGATTTCATGGGGACGTTCGGGGCGTAAGGTAATAACATATTTCGTTATTTATTTGCAAGAATTTATCAGACAACATCATTTTGAAGTTTTCCTAAGTATTTTTTTAGTAAGTAGTAAGTAATTTGTGGTATACGTCACGCCCACCTTTAAAGTTGTTTCTTTTTATTACCCCCGTATAACAAAATTCGATATTAATAGACGTTTTTATATTCTTTAATAAGTGTATTTAACATACAATGAAGGTGAACATACGATAATAATGTAATGTTAACTCTAACCTCATTCAATTTCTAACAGTACATTTAACTATTGCAGCTTATAGTAATATAAGTATTTATAATCAAACATTATTAATAATCATAAACTGTTATTAATATGATGAGAAGGAATTGGTAGTTTCAACAAAAGTATTACTTGAGATCTTCCTATAATGTTACCGGATATGTATGCATCTAGCTTTACAATTTAAATAAACTGTCAGTGCAAAACTCACAAGAAATATATCTTTATTGTTTTGGGGTCTCTTTGACACTTAATAAGTATTAGAAGCATTTTGGTATACATTCAATTTCATAAGTAATGTGAGCTACTTAAAACTTAAAACTTTCTTCTTGAGCATAAATAGCAAACAGTTGTCTTAGACATAGTATATTCAACTCGATTATTCAACTAACATGATTCAATTCGATTCAGACTGATGATGCTGAAATGAATAATTTTATATGTTTTGACATGTTTAATACATTACAGAACTATATTAATTCAATAGGTACACTTTTGAATAATTTCCCAAAATTATTATCAAGTAATTTCATGTACATAAGAATTATTGCAAATAGAAACCTGTGAAACTGAAATGAATTCGATTTAATTTATATAAAATTGATTGTTTAACTGAGAATCAATTTTCAACAACTAACATACCACAATCAATATGTTACAAGTTTATAATATTTAAGATATAATGTTGCAATAATATAAAAAATAGGTTGATTAATTCATTGACTGTCTGTTACACAAAAAGTAAGGTTAATATTAAAATTAAGGCAATATGTTTTATATTGTTACACTCTTAATATTTTTATTATGAAAGGACAAAATGATTATTATCCTGAAATAAAAGTAAGTCAAATGCTGAGGTTCCATTTATTTTATAGTTTAGTCAGGAAATTTTAGATGAATGATAAAATTAATAATACATAAAATAAAAAACATATAATAGCTAATGTGTTTACACAATTAACAAACATGTTGTTATTGTACAAATTGATTGTTGCGACTGTTTCATATAGGCCTGTGTGAAATAGTTGCTAGTAATTGTAATAGTTTAAGTCAGGTGTGGCCTAGTGGTTAAAGGGCCCGCCTCTCATTGCCAAGGGCGCGAGGAAACCTGGACTTATAGTTTCACAATTATAAGTTTTAAATCACCAACCCTTCTTGAGCAAGCATGGTGATTAATGCTCAAACCTTCTCCATGTTAGAAAGAGGCCTTTGCTCAGCAGTGGGCTCTGATAGGCTGATGACTGAAATAGTTGCATAACATAATTTCATGTGTTTTCTAGGATAATGCAAGAAAGCTTGTCCAAGGTGATTGACATCTTGGGAGAGCAGTCAGCGACTGCACAAGGTCTCAATAGAGTCATCACTACAGCTGAGAAGCTGCGCAATTCCCCAACACATATTTTGTATTTACTCAAAGATGCCAAAGCTAAAGGGTATGTAAAGCTGGTAGTTATGTGTACCTAGTGCTATTTGTCTATACACCATTTAGAAATCATCATTTCATTGTAAATTTACCGAATTGCTTTCATTTTTAAATGACTTTGAGAACAGTAACTATTGATTACTATATATTACATCAAATGTATTGTGGTTGTTTACTTTACAATTAAATTTGTTTACTTTAAATATTAATCCGCATCGATATCTGCAATGCGGCTAATCAAAATAACGAAGATTGCATGTCCAAAATTTTCGGCACTTAAAGTCACGTCAATAACGCCGATAAGGAAATTATGCCTGTTATTCGAAGTTCTTAAGTCATAAGCGTCACAAAATATATTCTTAATGTTATTTTCTTTACTTATCTCGCACCTGCATATGTTTATCATATTGAGAAATTAATTAGCGAAAGTTTATGTATGCACTATGTTTAAATTGCGAATTGCAAATTGTTTTATGTTTATTTTTTATCATTTTATCTAATATTTTATATTTTTTTTAGCTTGTTTGTGAAATTACGGTTATTGTTAGGGCTCAAGCGAAATCTTAAGATTAATATCTTAATGTACGGTACAAAAGTTTTAACTTAAAACCATCGTTAAAAGCCTATTTCTTTTCGATCAAAAATTTCCTGTTCCATTTCTAAAGTACCGATATTCTATTATGTCGCAGTCAATGGACTGTAATAAATTAAAAAGAAACTGTCCATAACAAACATTGAAGTGAAAAAGTTTTTGACCACTATTGTATTGTTACACGGTCGTTTCTACAGAATTACGGTTAGTTGTACAAGTCTAAGGCTTTGGCTGTATTAGAGAGTAATAATATTTATAGTATATGAATGAATTTGTAATTTGTTGAAGTTATAAATACGTCCCTACCCCCATGTGTTTGTTGTTATACGGGCTGGGACGTTCAGGAAAAGCATTTTTTACGCTAGCTTTAAGTAGCATAACGCAATCACAGATCTTTTTTGCTGCTTTGTTGCGATTTATATTTACCTTTTGCATTTTGAGAATAGCTTATTTGTAAAAACCTCCGCGCATTTCGAGTATAAATTTTTTAAGTTACATTTAAAATAAAAAAGAGTGAAGCAAAATATAAATCGATAAAGATCTTTTTTATTAATTCCAAATCAAAAATTTAAAGAAAATCTCAACATAAATTTATCAAAATCTTGGGCCAAACATGGTAAACGTTCTAATAATAAGCTTGCGTCATTTATTCACATTATACCAAATGGCAAATAACTTACGTAACGGCTTTCGTTTCCCCAGATATTTAACATACAAATGTATTTAGAATTTCATAATGTCAGTGTTAACTTTCACTTGCGTTTATGTTATAGCGTTTTCGTTTTGGATGATAATTAATTTGTTTATATAAGTTCAAGTAACTTATTTCAGTGGCAAGGGCGAGGTGATAGCTCTGTTGAAGGTGGGCCGCAAGCACCTGTTTCTTTTCGACGAGAAGGACAAAGTGTGCGAGGTGGAACCGCTTTGCGTGCTTGACTTCTTCGTGCTGCGTGACCGACAGCGTCACGGTTACGGCAAACTGTTATTCGATCACATGCTTCAGGTATATAAATATATGATTATATTTAAAATGTTATCCATTACTTTATAGATGCCTTCACTCTTTCGTACTGTCAATATTACGACTGCTATAAAAGTACGAGAATATCTTTATTATGTATAAAGAACTTAAAATTTTAATCTATTTTAAAACAGCAATGGCGTACGTTTTTATAAGTTCATCAATCTTAACTGTATAACTGAATTTCAACTGACTAGTTTTGTTTAGCAAAAAGAGTAATTTTTTGGATGACGAAATTATGTTCTGCATTTTTCAGTGCATACTCAATAAAAGAGGTTTGAATTGCCTTTCTTTAAAATTGAAATGTTATTTTTATAAATAGTTCATTATCGTGCTCAATGAAATGATCAAATTATTATCACAGAGACTTCAAATTGTGATATCACTCGCTGGGCTTGCATTAAATAAGGTCAAACATTTATTCTCAATAAGGACTCATACACCTTCCTTGAATGCCGAATATAGGCAGAGTATGGCGGCGTATGTGGTGACCTTGAAAACGTTCTACGTATTTGAATGGATAAAATAATTGTACGCAAAAACAATGAGAATTATTTTAAAAAAGTAGTGCAATTCAGCTATTTTATATATTAATGACATGATGCTTATAAAATTATTGTTGTTTAAGCATCCAGTACAAATATATTAAAGAACAATTAGTCAGATAACTGAGTGCCACTACGAATAAATCAACTAATCTTTATGCTAGAGATTTTAATATTTTATTATTTATTCATATTTAATCAAAATGTAGTCAAGTTTCTTATACGCATATTTAAAAACAAAATTATATTATATTATATTTTTGAGTTACTATGACTCGCTTTATTTTTTTATGATTAGTATAAGATTCATTTAACCAGAAAAGGAAACGTTTAAATTATTTAAAATTTACTTAATAAAGGCTGCTTTTACTCGATTTCATTTTATATTTATCTTTACAACACTCCGGTTCTTAGACTTAGTCAATGCCTATGCAATTATTTTGAAGTGGGCGGCTTCGTCACGATCTTTGTGCACGTAATAGCACAGTGCAAGCAAAAATACCTTTTAGGTATAAGTTTTTATTTCACTTGAGTTTTTCTATTTATTAAGTTTGCCGTCTTATAAAATATTAAAAATTGAAATACACATTGTGTATTCTGACCTTAAATACAATTAGGAGTTGACATTGAATCAATCGCTTGTTCAAGCGAATATACTCAGCGCTTCTATAGAGTTATTTGAAAAAAAAATCTGATTTCGTGCTTAATTGTAAGGTTATAATATTATAATAAGGTTATAAGGTTATAATATTATTTATCTATTCATAACCAACTCTGGAACTTAAAGTATATGGAAACAAAAGTAGTGATAGTGAGCGAGATTGATCTTATAGTTTTTGTATTTCATTTTGCAGTTCAAAATTACTTTGAAATAATAATCGTACATAGTAAGACAATAAAGGCTCAAAACGCATCCTTTCATAATTTGATATGAACAAAAATATGTGTTCCTCATGTCATAAAACACAAGACTATTTGATACATATATATGACCTCAATAATAAATATGCGACTGCAATTTATATATCGTATGTAAACTCACTTACATATTACATGTACAATGTTAGTCATTTATTAATGAATCTCAAGGCACTGGTATTTTTTATTCGCTATGGAGACTTGTGTTCTATTAGTTTTATGAAGAAAAATATATCGCAAGTAAAAACAATTACATGACACATTATTGTGTTCATAAGGTCTTAAATTTCTCTGATTTCGTTAACAATTCTATTATTTATGTTATAATTTCTTACATATTACAAACTTTGGATATCGGTGAATTATCTAATAATAATATTTCCATGAGTGTCTAAATTCGGGCACATAGTGAAATATTTGATGGAACCTTTTTAAAACTTTATGAACGTAGTTATAATAAATGCATTTGTAAAAAATACTAGAGCATCCAAATATTTATATTTTTCTAGATAGAAAAGAATAGCAAAAGTTAATGACGTCATAGCGATTCATATTTAATACTGTTTTTCGTAATGAAGAACTAGGATAATGAGAATAAACTTTTCTACTATATTGGTACATTAAATTTTCAGGACATGGAAGTATCGGCCCAGGAGTTGGCCATTGACGGTCCGTCGCCTAAGATGGAACAGTTCCTTAAGAAGAACTACAACGTTGAACGACTGCTGCGGCAGAACAACAACTTCGCTGTATCGCCACAGTTCTTTGGAGCTGTGCCTGAGATGAAGTAAGTTGTAAATTATAATACATAAACGTATGCAAACCCAAAAGTACACACACACTCACACACGTGTCTCTACTCTAACACACACACACATACATACATACACACAAACACCCACACACACAAACAGTTTGAATGACAAACTATTGAATATGGTCATTCAGAAAAACAGCTATATTAATTTTTGTTTTCTTACCATTACTTCGAAATAAAATGTAAAGTTATTAAAGTGCACATAAAAGAATTTATTGACATTGTAAATATTGTATTACTTACGTTAAGACAGAAAACGCTAACTGTAATGTAATTAAAATTTATGACGAATCAATAATAACTTATTTTAATTCCAGGCCCATAAGAAGACGGCCACGACTCTCAATATATTAAACATTTTTTTAATAATTGAATATTGACTGTCGCTAATATGTAATAAAATAATATAAACAAATAGTAACTTTTACTAAAATTTAATAGCAATTATATTAATCACAGATCATGGAAAATAACAAGAAAAATCCTAAGTTAATACTGCTTGTGCGAAGGTTAGTTATTGTTAGGACTTTTTTTTACTAACGGACCATAACTTATAAGAAACATCACATATTACTCTTCATGATTAAAATCATTGAACGATGTAACAGCTCACAACACACAGACACTATCTCTTCTTAATAACTAAAACTTAGGTATCTCTATGCTTATTTTTTATTTGTATTATAAAAGTTTTCATATAAGTTCTTATAATAAGTAACAATTAGTTTCCATGGTTTATAAAATACTTACAAAGAATCGTCTAAACTCTATGAAACGATGTCGCTTCTCAGATTGATTTTTTATGTAAGTGTTTTGTATCTTTAAACGAAATCTTGTATGTAAATTTGAAGTAATCCAATTTAGATTTTTACTAAGGCTCATATTTAAAATATTAATTAAAATTATTCATTATAAGACTAAATATCTTTTTAATCTCATTATTATACAGATATGATATGAGAGTGAAAAATTTATTACTCTCGACATTGATATAGTTAGAAATATTGAGTTTACTATATACAGGGTGACTGGTGAATTACTATCAATATTTAAGGAGAATACTCGGTACATGATTCTCATTCGAATTATGTATAAAAAATAGGCACTTAATTTTTGACAAAATTTCCGTATAAATAAATAAAGTGTTGACACGTTCCAAGTGTTCCAAGTGTGGACGCGTGCGGCGGCGTGCTGATACAACACCACGCCGCCGCACCAGTATGTGTGAGTGTGTGTGTATACCTAATCTGTAGGGTGTTCATACGATGCGTAATTAATTACATAACTTTTGGCTAACTTTACTTAGAAGTTTATTAATATTTATGTTATATTAATTTTTATTTTGTCATATATGATCGTCAAATATGACGTCCTCAAGTATCGATAGTAATTCACCAGACACTCTGTATATTACGAAATTAAAGATAAGTAAATTAGTATTAAATTCTATCTAGGAGAATTCCATACTGAGAGGCGGCATACTTAATAGTTAATAAAACGATGCTGTCCACGTTTTTATGTAAGCTTTTTAATATGTTATTATTATTAATACAAGCAATAAGTCCGGTCGTTCGACGCCAGCCGTGACTCCTCAAGTCGGCCGCTTCGCTGCTCCTAAACCACCATCAGCCATCGCCAATGTAAGTGTTCCTCATATAACGCTATAATAATCATACAGACTTTAATAATGCCATAATAACGAAATTACTAGGCCAATTAGATCTCTGTTTTGTTCTTATATTGTCATATATTCGTGCATATTCATCATATGTGGAGTTATGCATGCATGAATGTATCCCTATTTCCTCTATTTCACCAGCAATATATTTGTTAACGTCACAGTTAAATATAAGACCATACTTACTAATATTGCATTTTTTATTTATTAAATTAATTATAATTACAGATATTATACTGGTTATAGAACAATTGTCACATGTGAGTTACATCATATAAGCTATGAATATTAATTATAATTTTATATTGTATTGTATAAAAAGTTTGTTAAAGGCATCCTGTATGGTAAAAGCATTTTAGTACACGGATAGTACTAAGTACTTTTGTTTATTATTACCTTAATCCTTAAAATGATCTCTCATATCTCTAAATGTTTCAGTTTGAGATTCTGCTATAATAAAAAATAGTTTTTTTTTATATACATATGTATTTTTTTTTTTTGTAGTTTGTTAGTCTTCAGTGGAAGTTGGGATTACGTTAAATTGCCTTGATTAAAATAATATCGAAATCTTGTTACAAATAAAGTGCAGTAAGCTCTTATTTCCATATTTGTCTTTTAGAAAAAATATATAAAATACGTAAACAACTAGTGTACATATTTATGTATAAATCCATACATTCTTTGTTCGTTCGTTTAATGTATAGTTTTTATTTCCAGGTGATCCACGGAGGCGCCAGCGCTTGCCAGGAGACGAGCAATGGGTATGAGATTATATATATTTTTTGTTTTAGCATGATCAACATAAAGTTAATTTTGTTTCTGTCACGTTTAAAACTGTCTCATTATAACACGACATTATTTTCATTCAGTTTTACGTTCTCTTTTAATTTTTATTATGGTTTGGTTCATTTTATTTTCAATTTTCGTTGCTTTCAGCTTCGGCCGTAGCAGAACGACGTACTGGCACTGACTGAAGCCCATTTTTAATAATTATTTATTTTTTTGCTTACATTTACTATAATTTATACGTTTTTTGTTTAAATGTAAATAACTTCATAGTGTTTTCACTGCTTTTATAGATAGTTTATTCTATTGGTTGTAGAAGTAAGCACTCGTTCGATTGAATTCATTTCCTTTTCTGTTTAGAAATTTACATAATTTTTTTTTGGGTATTTGTAACACGAAGAGTGCGCATGACTTTTGTTTCTTGCTATCTACAGAATTCTGATATTATCAAAAAAATCCAGGAAACCGCACCATACTGTGATTTATGTTACACTATTATTTAAATATATATATGAGACATTTTCGGCAAATATGTATAGGGTCTTTTTTCATATTGTTTCGTTTCATGTCAGCTTGTCAGTAACAAGTAGAATTGAGCTGAGTGTATTTGATGTGACGCACACGAGATATTTAACAATAAATACCTACACAAAATATTGTATATAATCATGGTACAGTCTGTTCTAACTATTGTAATCTGTAAATCTATACGTAATATTTGAATATTTTTCTGACTAATCAAAAAACATATTTTATAAAATCTATTGTTAACCTTTTTTAGGTTCAATATTTTGTTTTTCTTATCATAATATTCTTGTTGTATTTCTATTAGAAAAGTAATTGTTTAGTGAAAGTATTTTTTTTGCCTTGATATTAGTGGACCAGTCATAGGATGTTTATATCTTATGCGTATAAACGCAAATCATTACATCTTGGCAATAAGTCCATTAGCTTAAGAGCCAGTGAACGGATACCTGTATGTATTTGACCAGACCTGGGCTTTTGCACGTTGAGACTCCTTTACCTACCGTACACGAGATAGGGACTCACTAAGCCCTAACTGGTGGACGCGGCTAGTGCGCAGGTAGGACAGGTATCGATTTTTGGCTATCTATAAATGCATTTGACCACGTCTGCGTTTTGATATTCGAAAATATATTATTGTTAGTGGAAAAAAACAATGGTAGACCACTATCACGCGTTTAATCTGTCTTATATTTTATGTCACATCGCCCGTCCTTTCACTCAAATACCTCAGCAGCTGATTAGTATTAACACGAAAATTATATTGAATCGCGACCATAGCGAGAAAACATTCCACCTTCCATGAAATAACAGCTTCGATAAAACTACGCCTCCGTTTGTGAATAATATGAAGTGTACACTTAGTGATACTTAATTTGCCTCGTCTCGTTGCATAATGACTTTCCATTTTTCCATTAATAAATCTTTGTATTTAAGATGTTATTTTTTTGTAAATACATATTTATGAATAAAAAAATTAAAACAGTCCGAATGTAGTAACAAGTTGCAATTTTGTTGTAAGGGCACTGACTTTTAATGCATAGTTATAACTGTTCACATCGATCAATGCACGCTCTTCCTCTTATTCATACCTTTACATTTAAAATACTTTTAAATAAAAAGAAAAAAGAATGTAATTAATTAATGACTTATTTTGTTAATATAAACAGTCGTTTGGTAACATGAGACTTAATTGAAAAATGTATTGTAAAAAGCTATACCATTGCAATTGTATGTTTTATTATTATGTTACACATTCAAAACGAGTGTTACAGATTTATTAAGATTCTAAACCAACATAGGTACACCAAACCACTGTATACAAGAGATAATTTATGATTATGAAAAAAGATTTTCGTACGAACCATGAAATCATTTAGTGAATTTCAATCGCATTGTGTTGTGTTGTATTGGTTGTACAAATATGTATGTAACATATCATAAATTATAAGTGAATATATGAACGTTAATATATTTTCATCATTAATTAAAAGCACCGCTTATATAATTAATATAATAATAATAATTCATCATGATTTTGACTTCATTTAAAATAAACAAAATAATTAATCATTTTAAACATTTTTTTTTCACTTTGTTAAAAATTCATTAAAAGATCACTTCACTATTTTGTTAAGTTGCACTGTGATAATATTATACTTTTCATTTTGTAATTTATCTTTATTTTTTAACGTGCAATAAATATTTTGTATTTTAGTATTTAAAAAATAACTAAATTTAACATTAAATATAATGAATGCGTTATTCCAATAAACATTGTTTTTTTATATATAAATTATAAAATTGTAATAATATTTGCACAAGATTATAGTGTTCTATCGACTTTTGGTTTTTATTTTTATGCCTAACATTTTTTGGACAAAGCTTGTTGGTCGTGTGAGATGCATTCAATATCTGATACCACTGTTTAAAGGTTTAGCCCGTCAGATGGGGTTAGCCCGGAGGTGACTGAAGTCGAACCGGTTGCTGAGAATGTTCCAGAACCAGTTCCAAAAGAGGTCGAGGCAGATCTTGCGGATAATCAAAAGAGTCCCGAGAGACCTTGCACTCTTCAGGTGGAGCCGGTACTGGAGGCCTCGCCTTCCGCTGCGCTCTCACCCGCGGGGTCGACGACCTCTCGCCGCGACTCGCAACTCACCGACCGCGGCTACTTCGACGTCAAGTTCTATCACAACAAGCTGTGGTAGAAACTCAACAATCGTTTTTTAATCTGTTGCCGCTTGTATTTATTCGGTTGGCCTAGTGTTATTTTGTTTGTTTTAGCGTATAGTTGTAATCAATTATTTATTATAATTATTATAACGTTCTAGTCTTTACAGACTTTAAAACATTCCGTAAGCATTTATAATGTAGCCTCGTGAAGATGTTTAGATGTTTGCACACATTATTGATAACAATTGATGTTTTTCAAAAACTATGGGTATCGATGTATTAGTATAGAGATTTGTATTTCTGTCATTGGAATCAAAAATGGAAGACGGTAGATCGTTATTTTGAGGGACCGCCGCCAAACTTTTAAGTCAATAAATAATATACTTTACGAAACATGTTCTGCCAAAATCAGCTACAATTATGTTTGGTATACACAAGTTTTGTTGTGTAATAAAAAAAACTTCCAAATATTCTAATATTAAAAACCTATATTGATCGTATTTGATAACAATTTGCCGTCCTGAACAATTTTTGCCCCTTTTTGGTCTTTTACAGATTGTAATTAAACGATTTTAAACTGTTAATGTCTTCACTATATACATAAAGTACACCTTTTTTCAATAAATATTTAAATTTTGCACAAAAATACTAACAAAAAATTATTGTTATTGTTAAGTTTGTTGCCATCGGTCTAACCTTATCGGACTCTCAATTAAAACACAATAAGGTGTCTATATTTTTGTCTCGATCTCTACAACTTGTAGTCATATTTATAGGAAAACATACCTTGAAAACATACTTTTTCTCACATAGTCATTTGTCTCGCATCTCTTATTAAAATCTTTAAGACGTAAGTTTTAAAAAAAATTCATAATAAATATAGTGTTTAAAAATCTAGTTTGCATGTTATAAGTCTTTAACTTAAATGTTTTGATGGTAATTATTTTCATTCCTATTAAAATTTTGCTTAATATATGTGGTGTTATTTATTGATTAGTACTAAAATCTCCAATTTTTGTTGAATCTGCTTTTCTCTTATACCAGATCATATATGAAGGGGCATAGTAAAAATTCATGATTCGTAAAGAAACATTTTATTAAATCCATTACAGTGGGACATCAGAATGTAATCAATGTCTATCTTTGGGTTCTACTACATATAAATCAAAAGGGAAACAGAGCGGTAGGGTCGAGGGACATAAACTATCTGCAAGCATAGGAAGTTCTCGGTAAGGGACAAAGGTACACAGATATAACATTAAATAGCATGGCATACATTAATTCAAGCGAGTTCAAAATATCCTCATATAAATAAGCTAATGAGTAAGAAAATGAGGATTTACATAGTATAATATCATTTAAACAACGGTGAGTTAAATACATGACTATTATAAGACAGCATATAAGTGTCAACACTCTGAATGCAGTTTTAAATTTCATCCTTACAAAATGTTAAGGCTTGATTTAGTTCTTTAAATAAGCGTTCTTTAAACTAATTTTGTTAAATGATGGTTCATTAATACTTTGTCTCCGTCCAAATGCTATTTCATGATTTTTGTCTTTTAGTCGTCATTACTCTTTAGTTAGAAGACGTTCCACATGACACTTGTTAACGATCCCTGTACTGCCCACTATAAATTCGTTTCAACTTGAGCATGCCACCGAGGCCCATTGATTGATGTGCTGTGTTAGAGTGAACTCATTCAGAGTGAAAGACACGTAAACGTTCCAATACAATGAACTACGCCCTTCAGCTAGGTTAAGCGTCGCCTCTAAATGGTAAGCTATATCTACAGAGCCTTGGAGGTAACATTACGAAACGGCAACACCAAACGGGTCTCCAAAATAAAGTTTATATTTTCAGTTGAATAAAATGTCCTCCGTCTAATACAAAATACTTATTCATATAATGATTATTAAAATAGTATGAAGAATTGTACGCAAATCTATTTAAGAGAACTTACGTATATATTTTATTCTTACAGATGTAATACATTAATTATAATAAAAAAGACTAGCATATATCAAAGTGTAATTCTTAAATAACTTTCAATATAAATGGTTTGTTACCTACTGATCGATACCGATCTTAGTTAAAGTATAGTATAGTATATAATATAAACTCATGAATTTCTTTTATTATGATAATACATATTATAAAAAAGAAAATACGTTGAGCATAATTATAGAAATTTCTAGATGCCGTATCACAGTAGGCTAACTTAAACAATAAAGTCACAGATAATTTCATTTCAATCGAATTCAACGAAATGAATCAATCGATTAAAACAAATGAATTCGCATTGGAATATCGGTTCGTAACTTTATCCAGTTCCTTGTGACATAATTTTAAGATATAAAAAAATATTATAGGCCTGAAACGAACCGATTTCAGTTTCAGTCTTAAGCGCAAAAGTGCAATTGTCTCCTGGAATGGGACATTAATTGCGCCTTTTTACAAAAAGTAGGCAAAAATAAAATACGTTCTTATTGGTCCGAATGGAAAGAGACTTATTTTATATAATTGATTAAATGCGGTATATGATACTGTTAAGTAGATAGATATCGCTAGGAATGTATATGGGGATCGAGAGCGCCGTATAGTGGTATTTTGTACAAGAAGTTGAGAAGATCTAGCTACAGGCGTCCCCCGATTAAGATAATTACAGCTACAACACTCACTATATCTCGAGTATATAACATGTCAACTAACACCTAATAAGTGTAACTATTAAATAATGGGTTGATTCCATAGGTTTCTGGCACCTCAAATTGGTACCGGCAATGTTTAATGCTGGTGTGACCATGTATCTTTTACATCACAAACACATTATTTATTTGGCACTGAAAACAAAAACTAACAACTATTACTATTAAACATTAAGTCATCGTGTGAAGAGGTGTTTGTTTACATTTTGTTAAGAAAAAATCCCAACGCCGTACTGGCCTTATCTTACAAGTAAGAGATATTCTTTAATACATTGAACAAATACTATTCAGAGACATGAATACATCCCAAAAATATTTTGATATTCTCAGTCTTAATGATATAAGAGATATTTGTCTCACAAATATACAATAGCACTGTTACACCGGAAATATGATTGTACTTTTCAGTAAATCTCACGTTCGTTTTACTTTGTGACAATTTTTTCTGCATTTTGTACTAAACATTCAATAAATATAATAGATGGTTCGTTAAACTAATATAATCGAAGCAATAGTGATTGTTGGTGATGATATAACGTGGAAATAATCTGAAGCAATCTGTTAACATCTTTGGCTTGTTTGCGTTAGTAATAATAAATAATGAGTAGCTAGAATTATCTTCGTTATTTATAAAAGGGAATCATAAACGGTGGTACACTCAATGCAATCATACTGTGTTTGTAGAACATCAATTAAAGCGAGATTGGGTTTCACGTGTCAAATGTAGTTGTGATAAAAGCGTAGACGTCGAAGACTTGTTTGTCGTGGCGAAGATGCATCACCACACTGGAAGATCAATCGCGGGAATTCGCTTCGTTTATCTGAAATTAAGTTTAATACAAATCATGATATAAGAAAAGTTACAAGCTATCCTAAATAAAATATGCAATATTTATTATACAAATGTTTAAGGTCGAGTTATGTGTCTTATAGAGTACTATGCTTTCTCAAATCCACTTGTCTGCCAAGGTAAAGATCTGAGTCACAAGTCTAGAAACTGACCTATGTACGATTGTAGCGAGATCTTTGAGTGCCTTCTCGACACCGTCAGCGAGGTGGTGGTGGTGTGGGGCGGGCGAGGCCAGGGCGCGCGCCTCAGCCTCCAGTCGGGCAGCGACAGCCCTCAGCTGCAGTCGTAACTGCGGCGCACAGCTGCCCGCTGCCGTCGCACAAGCACCACTCAGACGTGCGAGACGCTCGGATGTCTGGAGACGCCATAGTGACCCGCGGCCGCCCGCTGTTCCACTACAACCTCGACGCACCTGAATTTATTGTAGATATTACAATGATGCATGGCATTCGTTATAATAGTTATCGTCAAACCTTATTACACTAATAGCAATAATGATGTGATAAGACATTTGCTCTGGTCTCATTGGGCAGAGAAAACAAATGGAACCTCGCAATTATTTAGAATCACTTTTTAAACAGATAACTAATTTATATTTTATAATAATTTATTCACTGATTTCAAATTATTATATTTTTCGCAAACGGCACAAACAAGTACTTGTACTAGAGAACAATCGGATCGTAACAAATAATAATCGTGATATGAAAATAGTAAAGGGGCAAATACAACCTCGTTAGTGCAGCATTCTAGTAACGTCCGGAGAGCGGCGAGTGCATCTCCGTCATCGTCGGATGTCGTCGGTGCTAAAGGAGTGGCATAGATGCCACCCTTTCCTAAAGGTCGAGCGCGTACTGCAGGCTTATTGGCCACAGTTGGCTTTTCATCTCTTCTGGCTAGGATGCTGCCGCTTCTGCCGAGCGCACTCCTCTCTTCTGGGGAACCTTCTTCACTCTCTTCCCCTTTTGGTCTCATTTTTGGACTGAGTCTTTCATCACTCTCCTTACTCTCCCATAATTTTTTTAAGCTACTGATGCTTCCAGTGCTTCGTCTTTTATCTTCGTCGTCGCCGCCACTGGTGTCTAATGATGCGCTTTCAGGACGTTTCTTGTCTGATTCATCACTCTTACTAGAGATATCCTTTCTTAAATCTTCTGGGGAGCATTGTTCCAACTTTTTGGATGTGCCGTTTGTCGCAGGACAGTTACCTTCTACTTTTCGCAATCGGGATTTAAAGTCAATTATTGAGCGACCAGGCTCCTCTGAGTCCTTACTAGTAATACACATTCTATTTGTGTCAACTTTTTTTAATTGTGATTTGAAATCAGTTTTTGTCTCTGGTTCGGTTTTCTTTTCGACGTTGTTTCCAAAGGACGTCTTTCGCAAACTGGCTTTGAGATCAATAGGAGATATGGTCTCCTTGCCATTATCAATTGGTTTCGGTTGTTCAATCTTCTTCTCTTGTTTACGCAAAGCTTCCATATTTAAACTTTCGGAGAGCTCGGAAACCAAACGCGTCACGGGATCTCCGAACGATGTATGCATTTCCATAACTTCATTCGGCGGCGGTGATTCCTTTAGTTTGCTTAATTTTTTATCTGCCCTCTCTTTGATTTCTGCAACTAATTTCAGTTCTAGCATCTCCTTCATGATTTGCTTTGCAGGTTTAACTTCGCTGTCTCGTTCCTGTACAATGGTATCATCAGTATCATTTGTTCCCGTACAACAATCGGGTGGCGGAGGTGGTGGTGGGGGTTGTGTATCTTCTGGGGGTGGTGGTAGATCTGGCGGTGGGGGAGGGAACTCTAGTTCAGCTAGCCTCGGTCGTGGTTTCGCCGGACTGTTGAACGAGCGAAGGGGAGGAGGAGCGCGGGCTGCACGTGGTGAAGCCGGCGCTGGAGCAGTGACCCCGCCCGATGAGTTGGAGCGTATCATGTGCGGCTGAGCACGAGCGGTACGGGGTGATAGAGATCGAGCTTCGTCTTGAGGTTCTCGTATAACACATGGCGTACCACCGCTCTGCCTCAGAGACTCCAAGTAAGCACCTATCCGTGCCCCCTTCGGCAGTGTTCCATATCTATTGATGGCGCGCTTTACGTTTTGCACTTCAAGTGCAGCTACTTGCACCCCTTGCTGCAAAAATATTTTCAATAATATAATAATTATACATGCTTTCATTACGTTTAATATGTGATTTTATAGTTATAAAGAAAGGCAATATAAGTTCTTTTTTTTTAAATAATGACTAGATAGTGCTTTACTGTCATTTCACTCAGTGTAACTATAAGTTACCTAGAAGACTATTTTGAAGACAAAATTATAACTGGAATGAAATACAGACGTAAGCAAAATCGTTCTAACCAAAATTATGATATATCATATATATCTAGAGTACCTTGGGCTGCAGTTCGTGTGCGGGCGGGTGTTGGTGTTGGATCGGTGCGTGTGCGTGTCTTCTTTTTGATCTGTGTCGGTGTTCAGCCACCCCCATGCCGGCCCCCGATTCATCTGTATCCGGGGTTGCTTCCGCAAGGGAACCCTCGGACGAAGCCTCGCGACCCCCACCACGACCCCCGCCTAACCCATAATTTTGTTATCACTATACTTAAATTATACTGTTTCCAATGAGAAGATAAAACTTTAATGACTACTCATGGTATTTTATAGTTTCAATTCATTTCTTTGATTAATTCATTGATTGTAGTCTTGCGTTTTGGGATCAATTTCGTGAGTTTCTAAGCTCCCTGCAGGATTCGAACCTGCCTACCCCAAGGACTTTTGCAAAATGGTTCACTACATTTACATATAAACTAAATTAAAATTCGGATAAAATGATTTCACAATAGAAATGACTTGTCATCCTAATGTTTGATATCAATGATTACTAATGAAATGTGATTATATGTATGTACAAACAAGTGAACATTTCTATTAGCAATGATAACTATAGATGTGTCTCTAATATACTCATACTTATTAAATACATAACAACTATTTTAATACAATAACTTAAATACATACCGATAATATACAATATAATAACAGCACATCCGAAAGGGAAAATACACAAAAACATAACATTTTCTAAATTGTTTATATTATTGAGGATGTCGAAGTGATTGTGATTGGAAAAGGATTAATAAATCTATCAATATTTATAACGCTAATACAACTTGCTACATAGAATGTGATTAAATAATCTTATTATATTGTAAAACAATAATTGCGTTTGTATAGAAAACAATAAAAATAAAAGCAACCTATGTTGCTAACGATTTTTGTCATTAACGACTGAATGAAGCTTTAAGAATAATAATTAATCATTATACGGTACGGAGATCCTGTTTAGTGTTCTTATATACCAGAGACAGTAAGAGTCTGACGAGGGAAAATAAAAAAAAATCTTAATCGCTTACAATTAACATCTTCAAGAAATAGAATTCTTAAATTTATGGAAGAGCCCCGGCTCTTTACATATCTCTGGAATATTATTTAAACAAGTCACTCGCAGCTAACAACAAAAGTGGAAAGGGATGCAAGAATCGAAATTTTAAGCGCCCTCTAGGGGTGATAAAAAAAATCATAAAGAGAACAGGGCGTAAGAAGAGTGTCGATTTCTTTAGAATAATTTATAAAACATGATAATTTCTCCCAATTTGGATTGGTTGTTATCAATATGATAACTTCATTGATCTTTGTGTGATTAAGTAGAAAGGTTCCTAATATATAGGTATATTTAATATATCTATTTAAATTGTATACTTTTCTGACGCCAAATGCACTCCTTATTATGAAAGTTTATACGAAATACATGTACATATAATTGTTATAATAATATAAAATTAGATATATAACACGTATCTGACAAGATGTTTTTTTTAATATAATTTGTAAAAAAAAATCTTGACAGATCCGATCTCGTTTCAATATACATATATTAGTCGCTAGTACTTGAAGATAGTATTAAAATATTGTCTATGTAAAAAACGAATATATATATATATATATATATATATATATATATATATATATATATATATATATATATATATATATATATATATATATATAAAATATGGATAATTTAATGGCAAGGCATAACGTTTCTGATCGAAACGTATAGTATACTTACAAAATGTTCGAACCTATCGCTATACACCTGAGTGAGCGGACAAACAGACAAAATCGCTTTTAAATGTATGCATATATCAATAATTAAAATTAATTACAATATACTAAGAGGTACATCGTCCGTATGCCGCTCAGATCTTTATATAGCTGCATACATAGAAATAAAAATAAACAAGATATGTATAAATATATACATACATATATGTGTATATTGTTTTCATGACTTTTCATGTTAATGCCAATGCAACACAAAAATTCACATGATATGCAATAGATTGTGAGTTTATATGAAGCCATCAGCATAAGCAGAAAACCTGAGTAATTGAAAATAGAAAAAGATTTGGCCTTACTAAAGAAAAATCATAAAGATAATAGTTTTCGTTATAGACCAATAGCATTAAGACGTCCAGTCACTAATTTCAAAATTTTACAAGGAGTTTTAATTGACAGTACATAAATTATACATCGATTACAAATAAATGTATTTAATTAAATAAAAAATAATCACTCACTAGTTTTAGATTTTTTTATGTATGCAATTTCCTGTTAAACATCATCTCTTACCCTCGAGTATGTCTGTAATTATTTGAATCATTTCAAGTATCAATATCAATGCATGCGAAAACAATAGAGATTTTAAAATGTGATCACATGCTTATTGCAGCTTAGTCGTGATAATAGATGTTCTGTAGCGACAACCACTAGAACTAATTATGATATATACTTGTTATGATAAGTTTTGAAACATTACTGTTTGCAATATATTGTAATATGGGGTCGGAGCGTTATAAAGTGGATTGGTTTGAAAATTCTTTTTACGTTTGTTCACATCCGTGACTGTGTGTGTGTGAGCGTATAGATGTCTGTGTGTGTACGTGTTCAAATAAAACTAACCGTTAAGGGAAGCTAGCCCGTCATCAGGCCCAGCTTGATCCTCAGCAGCGTACTGAGACTCGCGGAACGAACTGCACGATGACAAGAGACTGACGAATACACAACATTTTTACACGTTAATGTCATAACAGTATTACATTTAAATTATGTAAAATAAATAATAACTATTAAATATAACTCGATATCACATCGAGCATGACTGTGTGGATAGGTGTCTTAGTCCAAGATCCCAGAGCGATAAGACACAACTTATTTTCTAAAGCATAGAACTTGCGGTTCTAAGTAGTCTCTCGTGTACCTTTTAATACCTGTATGCTTGTGGAGTTGGCTCGGTTCGACCTGCGCAGGTATCAGGTGAGAAAGGTAACTAAAAATCAGAGTTACTTAAGTTAAATTTTAATGACTGATTTTTATATATATTTTGTAGAATAATACTCTGAAGTAATATCAAAAAAATTTGACGCTTTCCATGGGCCAGAACTTTTGTCAGACGCTTTAAAGCTCTACAAAAAATAAATGAACTTAATTTATTTTTAAATGTCTGATTTTTATATATGTTATTCAAATAAATATTTCAAAGTTATATTTAATCAGTCAGACATATTTTAATGACCAAACATTATTTAATTAAGTTCATTTATTTTTTGTAGAGCTTTAAAGCGCCTGACAAAAGTTCTGGCCCATGGAAAGCGTCAAATTTTTTTGATATTACTTCAGAGTATTATTCTACAAAATATATATAAAAATCAGTCATTAAAATTTAACTTAAGTAACTCTGATTTTTAGTTACCTTTCTCACCTGGTACCTGCGCAGGTGTCACCGAGCCAATTTCACAAGCGTACAGGTATTAAAAAGTACACGAGAGACTACTTAGAAGCGCAAGTTCTATGCTTTAGAAAATAAGTTGTGTCTTATCGCTCTGGGATCTTACTCTATCTTAATACTCAAGAAATATGCTATAGGAGATAGGTACTAAAAAGTAAAAAAAAAAATGAAAAAACTTTTCTAGTGACATTGCAATGATGAATTAATGGATTTAGTCACTTTTTTTTGTAACCAGAGACTTACACCAAAAACTTGTTTTCTTTAACATTATGTTACTTGAACTTTCATTAGTAGACATTTATATAGTATTAAACTAGCTCTCGAATGAGTTAATTGTTAATACATATGTAACGGAATGGAGGCACTCTCGACTGTTCACAAACTGCGTTCAAAGGCGAAGTGGGACATGGTTATGACAGTTACACTAATATAATTTTCTAATTGAAGTGTTTACATTTCGATTAGGTTCCTGTTATATAATAGTTTATAATATTGTATTATATATCTCAGTCAATTAATTGTATATTGTTTGACGTTTACTTTTAATGTCTTATATGTAGTTTTATAAATTAAAAGAAATGTATGAGTTACTTTTTTTATCTACAAATTGTTATACATTTTGAAATTAACCAAACGGACATTGATCCATCGTCGTTAAATATTTACCGAATATGTATTGCTGTTTACTTTTTGTTTAAACCAAACCAATAGAAATTCTGTTGTTATACTAGACATTGGTCAAATTAAATCTTTCTATCATTATCCTATCAGAGCCCACTGTTGAGAAAAGGCCTCTTCTCACATGGGGAGGTTTGGGCATTAATGACCACGCTTGCTTGTAAATCTCGCTAAGTCTAAGGCATAAAATTATTTTCTTCACTTTTAAGAGCACTACTCTAAAAAAAATATATTGAGAAACATGGAAAAGTCAATTCGTAAATGCTACCAATGTCTATACATATATAAGGCGTATGTGTTAAACCAACAAACCTGGTTCTCTTAGGCGGCGTGGGCGCTTGTTTCCCGCGGCGGTTGGTTGGTCTTCTCATCTGAACCCTATCGCCGCCTGTTCCTCCCTTCTTCAGAGACATTTGTGGTGTAGCACATACACCCTCTTGAAGCTGCTTCTCCACTTCTGTATCAAGAAATTAATAATAATTTCATTTTAATCTTAAACAATGTATATATTAAAGAGAATTTTGTCTGCGTCGAATACTCCTGGTTGGGGAACAGAAATAATGTTAAGAGACATTTGGAGCAATGAATATTTTTCATTATATGAACAGTTCTTGATTAATTTGTTGTTATTAGACGTAGTCAGTAGGTCGAAGGGAGACAACTTAAGAAATATATTGGAGAATAAGCTTAAATCACTTTCCTCATTTAGTACGTATCAATGAGTATATGTATTCCATTTGTTGCATAAGATATATTTGTGTCATTATCTGACCTTCGGTGATGGAGTTGTCCTGGAACATGTGCTCGAGCGCGTGATGTATCTCGCGGAAGGAGGGTCGATCCGAGGGGCTCCATTGCCAGCACCCTCTCATTAACTCGTAGACGGCCGCGGGACAACCGGGCGGACACTCCATACGATAGCCCTGATGTTATCGAAATACATACCCATAAAGAACTTAATTTCACAAAATTATTTCTTCGAATATATTTCTTAATATCACACTTAAATTGTCATATAATCAATACTTAATTGTTAATTTCGTATTCTAAATTACGTAAACTATGAAAATGTAGTGCAATTTTCATTAGTACTTAAATGTAATTTTATTATCAGATTTTCATTATAATCATAGAGATCCTTATTAACTATAACTATTTGTCAATGCTAAAATACCCTAGTGTATTTGGCAATGATAACTAAGGCAAAATTAATCAGACAAGAGCCTGAGGATTGTGGCAATCTTACAAAAATAACTTATCACTCTAAATTTAAATTAAGTTCTAAGTGTAAATATTTTTGGTTAAGTTAATATCTATTAAGTACGGGGACGAAAAAATGTTTAAATAACTTTTTACTCCAGCCGATACCAGTCTGAACCATAAACATACATATGCTCGAACGGATTACATCGATTTAGAAAATTTCACTGCAAGAATTTTCAAATAAAAAAAGATAAAAGGGAAATCCTTATTTGAATGTAAATTTCATTTCAACTCCCCTCGTACGCAGTACACAATTATAGATTATATGGTAACTTTATAACCGTAACTTTGTAAGCAAATGTCAATCATATTGTTGCCTATATAATATTAATGGTTTAGTTTCACTTCGAGGTAAGCCAGTTAATGATTCAAGATATTCAGAAATATAAACAAACATAGTATAATGTTTTTTATACGCAACAATGTTTGTATACAAATAGCTAATGAATTACTATACGATCTTAACGTCTCTCGACATCGATGTCAACAAACAAAATTACACATGTAAATACAACTTCAGCTAGGTACATGATGTTTACAGATTGAATATATCATTCTTTACAAAGTTTTTATAACAATATTAAAACACTATAAGAAAAACTATAACTATACCATTGTACTAATTTCTGTAATAAAAATAATCATCATATATAATTGCTTCTTAAATAATGAATATTATGGATAAGTTATGAAAACAATGATATCTAGTTTATACACGGAGCTATGGTTATGACATAAGAAATATTTAATCAAGTTATGAGATCCATTATAACTCTTAAGTTCAGTGCAGATGTAAACATAAGACAGTTAAATTGAAATGTTTGTTATTACCAAATCTTTAGAATTTAATTTGATCCGTGAGATCAAAATTAATTAAATAAATTATATAAATAATTTAAGTCGTTTAAAATAATTATTGATATGCATAGACGATAACTAGAATACGGCAGGTTTCTAGGGTGCAATAAATATTGTATATAAAATTATATATACGATTATTGAACGATTAATTTAACAACAATAGGTTTGTAATAGATATTATAACTAACAATAGATTGAACTAGACCAAAGGATGTTTAAGAACACCCTGTATACAATATAGTGACGTCGCTACCAAAACAACCATCATTGTTTCCCGGCCGAGTATAAACGCGCTTGCAAGCCTCGTCCCAGCAGTGTAAGTGAAGTGTTGGAACAAAACACATCTAAATAAATTATATCTGTAAATTCGCGGTCAACACACGAGAAAAAAATCACGATGATTAGTTTAAAGAATACCTTCATTTGTGTCCTCATCATATCTGTCCTTGTAAATGGTAAGGATATTTTTTTAATTTTTCAATTTGCATTATTTTTTAATATTAATGTTTTAAATAATGTGATTGTTACAAATATGTTAAATGTGATCAGGAAAACACAAGAAACCGAAGCCAAAAAAATTCGCGTCTCCATCCGCTAAGGGGATACAGTGTTACAACTGTTTGTCATTCGACCACCCTGGCTGTTGGGATCCCGATCATCCAGACTACGCTAACATAACGGTAAAAGTTCTATAAGTATATCTATTAATTTAAAAAATATCTTTAAATAATATTAATAAGAAAAACGGCAAATAAAATTATTCTATTGCCATAAATCCTACAAGATGTTTTAAGTAATACTTACATGTTCCTAAGAGAATTAAAGTTTCTTTTACATATTTACAACAAATAAAACCAAAGATATATTTATTGTACGTAAACAGCTTTTACTTAAGCAATATGTGGTTAAAATAATGACATATCGCATTAAGGTAAAAAGTCGCCATTAGAAAATAGAAAGCTAATAGCGAGAAGATTTACAAGTAAGAAAAACTGCACGTCATAAGAGGTCCTTTAAACGCTAAGCAACGCAAATTAAAAACTCACTCGCAGTCACCTTTACTGACTGTAATTATAAACGCACATTTATTTCGTAGGAGACTTGAATTTATTTACTTAAAATTATATTGATTTGTTCACAGGTACCTAACATTGACTGCTACATCCCCGGAATGGAGTTTCTGTGTATAGTTATTACGTCAGAATCAGCTAAACTAGGTGAGATTTATTTCTTCTAAAGTCTTTTCAACTATTTTATAGCTTCATCAAAATATCTTTTTTGCAGTTGAAACTGGTCAGGAAATTGGTCCGGTAAGAGCTCGCACTTGTGTACCCGCTAAGGACTTTTCAAAGAAAACTGTATCCTACTCTATGTGCAGTAAGCTAAGTAAAGAATTGTCTGCCTCTGAAATATTTTCACGTATAGGAGTAAGCAGACCACAGTGCACATTATGTAGAAAGCATCTGTGCAGTGACGCCTCCCATTGTTAAAATATAAGAAATGAAAATACCCATGTCGAATTTATAAATTATGTTGTAATTTAAGCCTTACTTTTATCCCGCCAGCCGAATTGTTATCACTTGTTTGGTTTTCACGCCGTTGTTATTGCTCTCGTTTACATAATCTGTTTAATAAACTATAGAAGCAATTTTCACACGAAATGCAAAAAGGTTAAGTTTTTGTTTGGAATCTTGTTGGGCTAAACGTTCGCCAATCGAACGCGAACACTCGACGGAAACGCATTTCTCTTTTGTTTTTATATTTCATTTATTATTTAATAAACTTGAAACATTTCATCGTCTTTTATTTGTTGAAGTATTCTGTTTATGTTATAAAACGTAAACAATTATGTTTAGTCATAGTTGTACCTCGTTGATTAAAAAACATTTTAATTAATAACATTTTTATCGTTTAGCTTTTACTAATATGACGTCAGAGTTGAACATTATGATTCGATAATAAATCTGATAGCGTTTTTCGACAATATCTTAGAATATAAAATAAAAACTTACCTTCTCTAGCATGTGGTAAACATCTGCCAAATCAACGCCGGGATAAGGTGACATGCCGTATGTGGCTATCTCCCATAGGAGTATTCCGAAGGCCCATACATCAGACTTAGTACTGAAAGTGTTGTAGGCCAGGCCCTCAGGGGCTGTCCATTTGATCGGGAACTTGGCACCAGCGTGGGCCGTGTAAGTATCGTCACGCATGAGACGAGCAAGACCAAAGTCAGCCACTTTAACCAGATGATTCTCGCCGACGAGGCAGTTCCTTGCTGCCAGATCCCTGTACATTAGGCGTTAATGAGTAATTCCACATTTGTGTATTCAATGATATTTAATGGAAGGATTTTTATTTTGTATAACTGATTTCATCATTCTTAAGCACACATTATATACTCGGGACGAACTAATGTCTTCCATAAGCTAATTTTCTTGTATACCTCTTTGACAACTCACATACATTATAAATGATGTTGTCTAAGATAAAAATAAAGTAGAGAAGGAAATATATAGAGTTAGAAACGATTTTTATTCATCACGACATAAAAAGATTCTCATTTCTTTATTGCCACGAAATGTATATAAAATTGTCTTGTTTTCAATAAGTTATAGGTATAGAGAATGATATAAGATAAAGTACTTGTATGTATTGTTTTTTTTTGATATAGCCATAGTATTATTAGCTCATAAGTGAACTTTATATCAAACTCTATAATTATATACGTTCTTTGATCTTACGTTATCATGTTTCTGTTGATATTTCTATTTTACTTTTCTATAAACTTTACCTCAAGAAGTATTTATTATTCTTCATTTGTAATGTTTTTGTTGAGAGGCTTTACTGTACTTTATACAAGAAAGGAACTTAGATATGAAAGACGTCGGTGGTAATTTTAATAAGTTTTTTGTTATTTATATTACTCGTATTCAAAACCATTGAATACAAATTCAAGTTGTTTTAACTAACTCAAATAAGCTTTACAAAGAAAATAAGTTGTTTTTCTCTTGTAAAACTTTATAAACCTGTTATATTAAGAATATTAAATTAAAATTATTATTTTTTGGCTGCTAAAAAAATTATAGGTATTTAAAGAAAATATCCATACGATTCCTCATTTCACAAACAGTTTGATGAGGTCTGTTCATTAAATTATGTAATATTTCTAAATCAATTAATAAACAGAAGATTGTTTTATAAATTTATTTTAACCAATGCAAATCTATACCTGTGTATAAACGAGCGGCTTTCCAAATAGCTCATTCCGGATGCAATTTGTGTGGCCATGTACATGAGAACCACAGCGTCAATGTGTTCGCGGTTCCCAGTTCGTAGATAGTCCAGGAGGTTGCCGCGGCTCATGAACTCCGTGATGATGTAAAAAGGTGGTTCCCTGGTACAAACACCCAGCAACTGAACCAGATTCGGGTGACGCATCTCCTTCATTATAGCCGCCTCCTCAAGAAAATCTTTTAGGGCCATCGTGTCGTCTTTTAAGGTTTTCACCGCCACCTTAGAATATTAAACATAAGTAGCGCTTCTAAGCACATTTTTAGAATTCTCTTCTTGTTACAAAATGGAAGCTAGTGGTCATTCTATATGGCATTAACTAACAGAACTGAGGAATAGTTCATAGACTTGCTTATTTTGGAAACATATCGCCAACGGCATCGTATATTTGTATCAACTTTGATTCCAATTAGGAAGTAAGGAAACATGAATATAATTCATAATAGAAAACATATTTCATAAAATATTATTATAGAGAAAATTAAACAAAACACTGACCTACATACTATATATGTATGTATATAATAATTTGTTATGTATGTAAGACTAGACCGACGATGTGTTTAGAAATGTTATGTAATGAAGAAATGTTTCAATCGAGGTATAACGTAACAATGTAGTGGGAACAATAAAAGCTATGACAATATCCCACAGGATTTAGTCGACCGACGACTCAATACAGATGTGCATTATGAAGATAGTCGAACACTTCATACAATACAAATTGCTTTACGCTCAATTCAAAATCAATATTCAGAATATCGATTTTGAGCACTGAATACAGATTCATCTGCTGACAGATGATTCATGTAAAACAGACGTTGTCATACACATCTATCTATACAGGGTGACTGGTGAATTACTATCGATAATTGAGGACGTGATATTTGACGATCATATACGACAAAATAAAAATTAATATAACATAAATATTAATAAACTTCTAAGTAAAGTTAACCAAAAGTTATGTAATTAATTACGCATCGTGTGAACACCCTACAGATTAGGTATACACACACACTCACACATACGCGCGCGGCGGCGTGGTGTTGTATCAGCACGCGTCCACACTTGGAACACTTGGAACGTGTCAACACTTTATTTATTTATACGGAAATTTTGTCAAAAATTAAGTGCCTATTTTTTTTACATAATTCAAATGAGAATCATGTACCGAGTATTCTCCTTAAATATTGATAGTAATCCACCAGTCACCCTGTATATATAAAAGAAAGTCGTGTTAGTGACTCCACTTATAACTCAAGAATGGCAGAACCGATTTAGCTGAAAACTGGCAGGGAGGTAGTTTAGAGCCAGGAAATTGCAATAGGATACTTTTTATCCCGTTCGACAGTATTCCCGTGGGACTTGACATGAAACGTCAGTCACTATAAAACGTGGAATAACGAAACACAATTGACAGCTATGCAATTGACGTATAATGACAGATATGTAATGACGTATGGATGACAATTTGATATTTGTAAGAAATCTTCTATCTTCTATATATGTATATAAAAATGGATTGCTGTTCCTTAGTCTCGCTAAAACTCGAGAACGGCTGAACCGGTTGGGCTAATTTTAGTCTTGAAATACTCCTGGAAGTCCAGGGAAGGTTTAAAAGGTGAGAAAAATTGGAATAATTGCCGGGAAAACCCTAAAAACAGCCCTTTTGTATTTCCGATACAAACGTTTTTTTTGACATTAGATTTGACAACTAACTAATATGTCAATCATTCTGTTTGATTGAAACAGGAAAAACCTGATTATTTATGGCCTCTAAAACGGAATAGAGTTCGCCTGGTCAGCTTTACCTACATATATTACTCTTGACCAAACTAACGTGGACGAAGTCGCGGGCAAAAACTAGTATATATATAAAAGAAAGTCGTGTTAGTTACCCCACTTATAACTCAAGAACGGCTGAACCGATTTAGCTGAAAATTGCCAGGGAGGTAGTTTAGAACCAGGAAATTGCGATAGGATACTTTTTAACCCGTTCGACAGCATTCCCGTGGGACTTGACATGAAACGTCAGCCACTATAAAACGTGGAATGACGAAACACAATTGACAGCTATGCGATTGACGTATAATGACATATATGTAATTTAGTATTTGCGGGATAAATTTAAAAAATCATTGTTTTTCACATGGGCAGTTATAGTTTATGTGTTCACGAGTTGGGAAACCATCCGCTTTATTTGTGTTAACGTTAGACCAAAAACAAAAAATGTGGTTTACAAAGGAGCAATTCAATGAAACGGATAATTTGCGGACACGTATAACGCTTCGATTCGGTATGTACTTTGGATTCACTTTCATTTACTTAGAGAAGTTCAACTAAATAACACTTCATTTTTATAATCGAAATGAATTATTCATTACTGTTGTGAAATGAAATAAATATTTGCCTTTTCAAATATAAAAAAAAAAAATTCTTCATCTTTTAATCACCAAACGAAATGTTACATAGAACAAAGCCTTCTGGAGGCGAAACGGAGTTCGCCAGGTTTACTAGTAGATATATATTTTATGATAACCACGAATAAAATAACAGTAGAACTTGAAATTAAACGGAGTAAAGAAACCTAAAACTTTTGCTTTCTTAAAAATCTTTAGTGTTAATAACCATTCTCAGGGTGGTCTACCTTCAACCGGGTCAAGATAGTAATTGTACATTACACCCACATTCAACAGATTCATTTTACATACGTCACTGCATAGATGTCATAGCCAATATTGTAAAACATTTCACAGTTTACTTAAATTCGTCCTTACTATATACTATGCATTATATTGTACTATGAGAATACAAAAATATTCCGACAGCAATTAATCTGTTTTGCGAAAAATCTATATAGGTTTTTAAGTATAATTCTCAAATCCCTAAAAAAGAATAATAGATATTTATGAATACAGTATTCCGGCTTTCATTGTTTGATATTTCATATAACGTTTTATGTTTTATTAAAGTTATGAAAACGAATTTCATTTTGAAGTAGTTACGCTATACATATATTATGTATGTTTGATTTCATTGTATTACTTTCCAAATAAGTCATATAATTTCTGATAATTTCTACTTATAATTATAGTATTGTAAATATAATTTAAGGCAAGCATCCAAACAAAGACATAAATAATAGTTGTATGAACCTACCGTCATATTGCATCTCTTCCAAGTGGCTTCATATACATCCCCGTATTGTCCGCCGCCAAGCTTGTGTTTCATAACTATATCAGTGCGATCGATCTCCCATTCATCGGGAGGAGCCAATGGGAACACTGTTGGCTTGTTGCGTTTGGGGGCTGGATACAACAGCTGAGTTATAAGACCATCACCGAGCACCGAGTGGTGATGAACAAGCTCGGCCAGGGTACCGAATTTGGATTCAGACGTCACATATACCTACAGCAAAATTCATATGTTACGAACCTTTAAATTAAACTTTATTCTTCAGAATTAACTAAGTCATTTTTATTTTACAGTTTACCCGACGTTTTGAATTCATTTCAACAATCGTGAATCACGGACAGACGAATCGATAGCCCGTCAGTTGGGCTCGATGTCAGACTCTTTAAAGTAACAAGTGAAATAACAAAATACGAAAATAATTTCTGGAAAACAATTTTATCGTTAGCTGGCGAAAATCAAAAATTGTAATGAAAGAATTTAGTTTTATTTAAATGAAAGAATTTTGTACAATACAATGCGTTAGAGCTAAGGCTATCATCTGTGTTGTGGTCATGTTGTAATTTTCGAGAAACTGTCATAGTTTCTAACTAGCCAAATCAGAATGTCAAATTGACAATCCAAGGTGCGGTTTGATTTTAACCAAACAGGCAACAGAGTATGCCAGTGTATGTACACTGTATAACTAAATTGACTTGATACACATCGGTCTCTTAAGGATTATATGTTTAACACTAAGTATTTTATTTTATATATAATTTTATTAATTAAAAATATATTTCCAAATGTTTTGTTGAAGATTTCTTATATAAAGTACAAATCACAAAAAAAATCTTCCCAATTACAGACGTCATTGCCCAAAAAATGTTTTTTTATATTAGTAGGTTCTTTCTGTAGCTGTACTGCAGTTTATAAATTACTGTCAAAGTATTCCGACACTACTTTTTTTTATATTTAAGAGGGAGAAGATAAGACGTTACTTAAACTTCATTCCTAGTAACTAAGAACTTTAATAAAGTATCTGGCTCTTGGAGCTCAGTTTCTAAGTAAGTCTCGATAATAATTGGATCCGTAATTTTAAAAAGAGTCGCATTAACGCATTGGCATAATTCACATTAGAAGCAATCGAGCTTATATACGGTAAGTAGCATCTAATGAATAATAAAAATATATTTTAATACCTTTTTAAAAGAATATTTCTCAGAGTTCTTATCTTTAATCCTATAAAAGTAGGTATAGAGTCAGTGACGGGATTTTCTATTTATCAAAAAATCCCTCGAAATTTACATTAAACACATTTTAACACATACGTATATAGGTTAATACAAAGATGATAATGATTGTCATTAGTTACCTTGCCGTCCGAGTCTTCGTTTATACGATAATGATAGACGCGACCTTCGTATCTGAGTGATATACTTCTTTGGCCAGGACTAGACTCGGACTCGCGTACCTAAATATTGGAAAAATACATTTGAAAAATACCTTCACACTATATACTAATTGAAAATTCATATCCAAAGTATTGATTTAAAAATACCATTACTGTGTAAATGTGAAAAAAAGGGTAATTAATAAAATAATTATATTTAAAGTAAGGTAACAATTTCATAGCTTTTACATCTACATATTGAGGGTGATTAGGATGAAAAGGAATATCTTTAAGTTATACTTACGAGAAAGCTGCCATTGATGCCTGATGAGAGCAAATATTCAGCGGCATTTCGTGATATTGGCCCGTGATACCAAGAGTGCTTCTCTAATGAATTTACCGGCGTCACATAGTTACTTGGAACCCATCCCACACCCCCGGATAATGTGTGAGCTTCACACCACTCGCCGCTCTTATTGTAGCTCATTATACGTACTTGTTCTCCTGTTAATAGAAGCAAATAATTAAATATAAAAGTACTTTTACATCCTATTTTGCATGAATACCCAACAGATAGTTCGGTAGTGATATGTTTTGTAATGATTTTGCTTTGGCAACAAATCTCCATAAGTTTCTACTTATTTACTTAACGGAATTGAAACTTTAAGAGATAGCTAAAATACTTATTACAAAAGTTACAGTTGATGTGGCAAGGTGGTACAAGATTTATATTACTAAATAAATTTTCCATTTTAATAGAACATTAAACTTCGAAGTATCATGGAGTATGAACAGCATATTGTTATATTCCTAAACCATTTGACGATCGGAATGACATAATAGTATACAATAGAAACACAATATTGTATTCATATCAAAGCAGAGGCACGACTAGAAATCGTTACGTTAATTGGTGGCTGATGAGATTAGTTGACGAGGCAACATAGTGCGGAGACAGTATTTATTGCTGCAGCCTTAAGTATGCCAGATACATTTGAATATTGCTCTTGAAAAACGATATACTATTACGGAGTATACTCCGTATTCATCTTTTAAAAACTGTTTGTTTTATGCTTATTTGTCACAAAATAACCATAAGTTACAGTGGCACGCATCTAGTAGGATTCTGAATTTTATGATGAAGATGATAAAAAAAGGCATTGAATAAGAACAATAAATAGTTCTTGAATATCTAGATTATCGTATAAGAGAAAGAATAATACACAAGTTATACTTGTTTTTATAAAACATCGTTAATAAAAACCGGTTCAGATAACTACCACAGTATACAAGTACATGTGATCTTGCATAGGCCAAATATTTCGTTCGATTGGAGCCAGTTTTATTAAAACTTGTCTGCGTATGACATATTTAAGAAGTGTCCGTTTTGAATTATTTATCTTGCAGGCTTCATTTTTACCTTTCTTGAGACTAAGTTGGTTTTCGCCGCCCGCTTGAAAATCATACAGTGCAACAAATAGTTGAGGATCGTCTTCCTCATGGTGGGCTAGTAAGTTTTCTTTAGAAGTCCATCTGTGACGAGAGATCCAGGAATGAAAAGAGTACAACTGTATTACAACATGAAAAACTAAGATTTCACTTATAGAAGTGATGTACTTGAAGAGTTGAATTTAGTTAACATTGAATTTATTTGCGAATCATCTCATACAATTTGATTTGTTTATAAAAATAGTATAATAATTCATTTGAGTCATTTGTTTGGGGAAAAATGAGACCTGTTCGCATCAAGGGGTTGCGGCGTAGCTGGAGCTGCGGAGGTGCCTTCACCGTCCGGCAAATCGGGGATGTGAGGCAATGGCCGACTTTGCAGAAGGGCCTCTGTAACAATCGAGGAGAACTATTTTAATACTTTAATCAATAATGCTTAATATCACCGATACATAATGCACTAGGATTAAAGCAGAAATTCTATTGCTACGTTACTTAGTTGCAACACTATCTTTGTATACGGGTATAGAGTTGCTGATGTACGAATAGTAAGCTTCTGTTATTAGAAAGGCTTAAGACATAAGCCTATTATGGATTGTCAAGAGAACGACGCGACTCAGACGACGCTTAAATGGGGAAGTTGTAGTACCTAATACTTTAACGTACCTTGTTTAATATTTTCGCTATAACAAAAATAAACTTCATGAAATATCGTAAAAATAATAACATTTAATAAAACAGGTTAATTGCCTCTGTCATAAATACTGTCTCCGCACATTGATGAAAAAAAAAATCCAGTTCTGTAAAGAAATTTAAACAAAATCATATTATAAAAATATAAGAAATTAAATGTTAGTCTAAATCTACTCTTAATTATGGTTATGATTCTCAAATGCGAATTGATAATCTCAGAACTGTTTTCGTTAAAGTATCCAGATCACTAAATACTTTTAGAACTAATGAATATTTTATTTTGACATTAACTTATACTGAAGAACGATTTTTACTGAAAATTTAGATACCTAAATAAAAACTCTTGAAAAAATTGTTTTACGGACAATGTATACAGTTTTTTCTATAGAAAAAAGTATATTTACAGGGTCGGAAACTGAATGAAATCTTATAGAGTCAAGATGTCTATCCACTCAGAGCCTTTCCCACAAACTCTATAGACAACCAATTTGTCAGCTTAGAAACGGAATCGGCTGTGTTGGCCACAAAATACAAAGCCGCTACCGGTTTGAAATTGACCAGGTAAGAGTACGTTAACACCAAGTAATCAGGAAATGAATATTGACGAAATTTTTACTTTAAAACTTTAAAGACATCTGTAAAACAATAGTAATGAAAGGTGTTATTGCAGCTGAAGTGATAATATGCTAATAGAATCGATATGCAGGTTATGACGTCAGGCCAAGATAAATGATACTATGCAGCCATTGAATCATTCAACTACACTGAGCGGAATGTACAGACTTGTCACATAGATACACCCCACATGACATATAATGAAAAGGTTCACTTCACCTTAAGTGTAAGGAGAGAAATTAATAAAAATTCACTACATAATAATACCTACAAATCATAATTAAATATATTTGATTTTACACGTCTTTACAAGTGCGGTTAGTGACGATTTAATGATTCAAGACTCTACTGCAATTTGTTTTTATGTTATTTTTATGAAAACAAAGATATGTTACTTGGGCCTAGAGAAAAACGAAAGAAAAATCCGCCATTAGCTTCAAGTCAAAAAGCTAAAAACAGTATCTAAAGCCTACAACTACTTACAATATGATTAATTTACAGGAAATCGCTAATTTCACACAGTAAAAAACTTCGATGTTTGAATCTATTTACCATTAAGGTTTCCAACTGAAACAAACGGGTTTCATTATCAACTTGAATAAATATATTTATACAGTAGATATACTGTATGAGGAAATTGAGTAATTAAAGAACAATACGATTATTAAACGAGCGTTGTTATTCCTTTAAAGGTTAAATATATACCCTGTATAATTTCCTTTCGTGAAACTTAGTAATTAGTAAAAGTAAGAAAAAGTAATGTTTTTTCTTTTTTTTTTTACGGTGTCTCCAAAGGTACCTTTCGATATGATCAATAAAGTTATATACGTAAAATATTCATCACTGCCTTAACAAGTTTGAAAGTTTTTTGTTTTCTTGACTTTTATAAATTTTCACGATATGACACTATTTCAAATAATTCCTGGCTGATAACAGTTTATTAAGTGGATATATAAAAGTCTAGCAACGAGGTAATTGTCACATGTGAGGAGTTTAACAGACAACTCTACGGTCTCACATCTAAGACCTCTAGATCAATGAAAGCAGTGAAAGGTCGCTATATTTGGACTTTTTCTAATATACTTTTATATTTTAGATATGTTAAATAAATTTATCAGAATTGCATTTTGTACGATCCCGAGACTGGCCCATGTTCCACGTAACCGTTATAACTATAGTTAAAATTAACGCGTGAGTGACAATAAATTAAAACGTGACATTTCAGATGCCGAACCTTACTCATGTTCTTTCATTTTTATTTCTACATATAATTCAAAGTACACAACGAGAAAGCTGAGGGTATATTTTTATAATTTGTCGGTTACGATTCTGTTACGAACAAGAGTTTGTTAATGTGGAACATTAAAACTGAGTTTTTAACTTTACAATACAAACTGCAACTAGGACTTCTATTCTATAAATATACCTACAAAAGAATCAATATTACATAACTTCCATATCGTTACCATTTTTCTCTTATTTATTCTAGGCAAAAAAAAACTTTTTAACTTGACAAAGAAAAATGACGCAGCGCATTACACATTATTATACATACAGTGACGTGTCACAATCATAATAAAATCACAAACTAATAAGAACGTTGATATTAATTACATATTTATTATAAAACAATAAGCAAATAGTATAAGTAGCATTTACTTAGTAGTAATTACTTCGATATTTAATCGTATTTACAATCGTATTTACACAACTAGGTAAGAGGAAAATAGCGATACAACACGATTTAGACAAATCTTTTGTATCAACCACATTCAGACATCTCCTAAACCACTACTTTCATAAGGATGATAGAAACATTACTTTCATAGAGCATTTGTAAATATACTTAGAGGTATGAGTTTGTTAGCGTCGTCTTCTAGTGCACCCTTATAATTTGTTTTGATAACTCAAACAGCTGTTCAGCATAGCAACAGTAACATCCATAAGTGTTGAAAGCCGTAAAGACAACACAGCATGTAAAAGTTAGAGGTTGAGGTATTCAGTAAACATTACCATAAATACTGTCTTAGGGGAATTGAAAGAGGAGAATACACAAATAATAATACAATAATGAACTACATAGAAGTTGACAATTACATTGGCTACGTATTAAAAGTAAGATTATTTCCTCAATGTAATTTATAATTCGAAATTTTTTTTTAACTGAATTTATAGCGGCTCACATAAACCACAATTTATAATCTTAGGTTTTTAACTACGAAAAAGGAAGCTCGTTCTAATGAGATTAATGAATTCATTAGAAGGTAGTTAATTTGCTTATAATTTTTACAGAAGCAAAAGATCTGTAGTAAATTTTAAGTTTCTTTCTATTTTCTGAGATGACAATTTTGAATGATTATCATAATTCGATCAATATTAAAGTTTTCAGTTGTAATACAAGATAAGTGTAGAAAAATCTTTGTTACGTAACAAAACTTTACATACATAGATTGTAAGCGGGTAAAAGTAAGGCTTCAATAGAACTAGGACCAAAGCTATCGCTTCCCGGATGCAGCCTGCTTCACCTGGCCGGAAATCCAACTTCGTATGGAGCTGCCAAGAGGTATTGAGATAACACTCACAACGGAATCGCTTATTAACTTCGATTTCATCGTGGGTTATTTAACATGTTTTTTTTCAGTAATTATATGAATCTATGAATTTAATTAGTGCATTTGCATTATTTTCCGATGATTAATATTAAAAGGATAATTATTGTATTGTAATATGTTTAAAATAAATAATATAATGAGATCTAAGATTTTTGCGAGTACTCATTTAAATGAAACTAATATTTTCTGATTTTACTTCCCGTTTTTATTTTTGATTATAAACTACATGCTCCCGACGTTTCGGCTACTTTTCAGCAACCGTGATCAGTGTCAGACGAGATGTCAGTGTCTGAGAAATAATATAATTTATCTATTGTTTTTATAACCGTTTTGATTATTTATCGAAAATCATCAAAAGTATCCATGATAAAGAACTAATATCTGAAGTTTATTGAATCAAAAAAGCATCCGCTTAGGGCTGTTCGTGCTTTTGAGCCTGGTCACTTCCGATAGTATGAGTAAGCTCAACTGCCAATGGGTACAAAAAAGAAAGACGCGATATATTCTGACGCCTGATATCACATAATTATACCGTACGCTCTTCCCGTAAGATCTTCAATTCCGAACTGTCTTGAACCACCTAATTGATTTCATAATAAAGTCAAATCATCATAAGTGGAGTTTATGTTAATAAAAACTTAACTTGTCTAGTAGTCAGAAGTTCCGAAAGGAAATGAGACATGAAATGGTCTGTCGCGTCTGACGGCAGAAGGTCTACGCAATCAGCTGTATAATAAACATTCGACAACGTTAATAAGTTCTTCAACAAGATGGGACTGACTTGGCAAGTAAAATGTCGCTCTTCTTTCAGCGCGTGTGATCAGTCATCGTATATAGAAACAATTAGATTTGATAAGAAGCATTGAAGTTTCAAGAAAGCCAACTGTGTTGAAGGGTTTTAACATTATATAACTTCCGGATTATGTTAGATTTAAAGGAGACAGTTGAAACAGAGCAAAAACACGTACGAACGACCATATTGTAAGGTATTGTATTCTAATTATGACACTTCAATATCTTGCAAAAATGAAACAAGCTACAGAAAATTCTACAATTGACAATAATGCCATATCCATTAGGTGAATAGAAGACTTTTGGTATAAAGTAGCACTACTAACAACTGCTCCACTCCATAAGCCAATTCTCGCTACACTATGTTCAGTATGCAAGTGATAAAAGTCTTGTGAAAAGGGTCAGTGAGGGACTAGTATTTGCTCCGATACCTTTTAATACCAAAAAAGATCGTTATGCCTTTTCCCCGTTGCAGAGAAATAGACATAGGATTACATTTCTCTTAATATATTGTGATTCTGAACTTTTCTGGATTGACTTGATGATCCACTGAGCGATTAAAACCCAAAAATTAACATACGACTATGTTTAATAATATTAATAATAAGAAAAATGTTAGATAATACATATAAACAAGTCCCAATTCTATAGTATAAAGGATTAAATGAAAATGTAAGA